CTCGAGGGCACAATCAGAATTTGGTAAAAACATAACAAATTTTGTAGGAATATAGAGCATGTGATGCCATAGGAGATTTTTCTTTTATTGCTACTTATAAAATGTTTTGTAAGTATGTGGTTAATAAAATTATAAATCCAAAACGAATGGCTATTATACAAAGAAAAAAAAAAGTGGCTATTTTTTTTCAAATATTGAACTTAATTTTTTTAATGGACCCTGATATTTTTCCTTCAGAGTTTTACTCCACAGGTAATTTTTTTTAAACGCCTACAGCACCCGGTCTTCCTAGGTGGTCTCCCATGCAAGTACTAACCAGGCCCGACCCTGTTTATCCGGGATCGGGCGTGTTCTGGGTGGCATGGCCGAATCCATAGGTAATATTAACGAAGCAGTCATGTACATTCAATTATGAATAACACCTCATGCTGGGTCATTGAATGCTCTCAACAGTATTTTATGTAATTCCCATTTTTCCCATGTCATATATGAGGTAGCCGAGGCTGCGGAAATTAATGTGCTGTGTCACTTGGCTAATAAGGTGGCTGGGGTTCTGACCATGCACCTAACTACTCTTGTGTGAAGTCACAGCACATTCATGACAGAGAACATCCAGGTGGGCAGGGACATTTTGGGCCATAAGTTCCTGGGTGGAATCGGGTGGACCAGGCAAGAAAAGCTGGGGAGAAGTTGGACTTAAAAAAAAGTTTTATTCCTTTTCTGCTAGTTGAATTAAAACAAACAAAAAGTACTTTTATAATAATAAAAGTGATAGAAATGAAAAAAGTTAGTCATAGAATTTCAGAATTTTTAACATGTCATCAATCTTACTGTAAACTTTACTTGGATTTTGTCATCAGAACTCATGCGTCTGTTGGATAGAGTCTTCCTCCCGCTCCGTGTGTGCACACACGTGCTCACTGCCTGTGCTGCTTATCAGTGCTGCGCATCTGTCATGCAGAAGCACAGTCACTGCCGCCACCGCAAAGATGAGACGGGGCACAGCTCATGTACTCCTCCCCGTGTGTCAGCTAGACCCCTCCTCTGGGACCCACTCCACAAAGCATAGCAGAGCGTCACTCAGCGCGACTCATTAGGACAGGCTCACCTTGAATTCTCTCCACTTGTTCTTCACGAATCCAAGTACCTTATTCGTAGCAAATAATTTACACGACATCTTACAGCTGACCCAGGCGCACGAGTGTGTGCCACTAAGCTCGGGCCGAGAAAACAGAGAGCTGCATTCCTGACTTTGGGAATGGATGGGCGTGTCAGGTGTGCACTGTGCTCCAGGAAAGCGAGACTCTTCCCATGCGGGGGGTGCGGTGCGGGGGTGGCAGGGCGAGGGAGTGTTGGAGACCAGACTGGACAGATTCAGACTGAACTCCAGAGGGCCTTGTAGCTGTTCTCTACTGGCTGTGTGCCCTGGGCACATCGGATGAAGCTCAGTTTTCCTACCTTCAAAATGCAGACCACAGGACCGTCTTCATAAGGCTGTGCATGTGTGGGTAGCGGCCCACGCCTGCCTGACAGTTCCCACCCTTCCTGCCCCACCCCCCGTAAAGGGATGTGGGCTTCGTGCTGTACCAGGAAGTCCTCAGCTTTAGAGAATGGTGAGATCGGAAGGGGAAACGTATCGGATCTGTTAACGTCAGTCGATTTTGCTCAGTAGGTGATCTCTTGCTCCTTAAGGGAGACCTTAAATATTCTTACTGCCGACTTTGCTTTCGTGGTGCCTACATCATCATCCTTTTATTGCCTCCCAGGGACTGCAGACACGTAATCTTGATCACATGTTTCTTTTGGTATCTTGCCCGATATCGAGTTCCTGTGCCTCCTGTCCACACACCACCTTGACATGCCTGTACCCTTCCCTGAAACAGCACTCCATTTCACCCATGTCCGGTGAAGGCTTCAAAGCACGTCTGGGGCACTCTGCCCCTGGGAGTCCTAGGGCTGGCTTTTGCATCGCGGGTGCCCTGGTCCTGAGGAACTGCACCGTGGCGACCTCTGTAACATGCCCTTTAAGTCGTTTCCTAAAGCATCATGGTATACACATCTACACTTAACATATTGTCTCTTTCATGTATGGCTTGTGCGACTTTGGGCAAGTCACTCACCCTCTCAAAGCCTGTTTCCCTGTCTGTAAAATGATCAAGAGAACAGAGTCTGCCCCAGGGCAGAGGAGGCCACCGTGGGGGCGTGGGGGCCAGGAGGTCCTTCTATTTTAATTTACTTTCGGGTTCTCTTAACCCTTGCGCACCCAAGACGCGTTCTGTGCGTTGCAGGCGGCGGACTGCCCCGGGAAGCTGTTCGTCTTCCACGCCTCGCTGCCCACCGCCGAGGCCCCGGGGAAGCTGAAGCCCAGGGACGACAGGAAGCTGGTGAACACGGACAAAGAGAAGGCGAGTGCACAGCCCCCGCGCAGCAGCTGCCTGGCAGCTCTTGGGGTGGGGTCGGGGGGTGGGGGGAGCCCTGCTCCGTGAGGGGGGGAGCTGGCGAACATCACAGGAACGCTTCCAACTGCAAATCATTTAAGAACTTTCATATTTCTAGAAAGACTGACGTCCAAAATACACCCACATGCAAACAGGGTCGCAGACTTTTTTCACGAGTAACCTGTGTTCAGTGACTGTCACGGAAACGGAGGACACGGGGAAACGGGAAAGAGGACGAAGGGGGAGGGAGGCTGTGGACAGCTCCAGGGGCTCAGATGTGCTTCGCTCAGACCCTGTGACGGGCCAGGGGCCCCCGTGGGGGACAAGTCAGTGGGGGACGAGGCCATGGCCTAGGAGCCAGCTCCAGGCCCCGTGACCGCAGACACGTCGCTTATCCGGCTGGGTGGAGGGAGGACAGCAGCAGCCTCGTGGGAGCTGCCGGGGGCGCCCGTGAAGTCCGGTGCGGGCGACACCACGGCTCGGCCTCGCACACGCTGGCTGCGGCAATGGGTCCCCGCGGCTCTGCTTCAGCCCAGTTCGCTTCACTCGAAAGATTCTTTCATTTCAAAATAGTCAATAAAAAAAAAAGTCAGAATTCAATGGGAATCAAAACCCTAAACCCAAAGCACAGTGGTTTTCACTTCCCTCTTGTGCGTCTTTTCCTCCAGATGCTGTTCCAGCCCCAGACCAGCGTCTACGACTCGCTGGCCAAGGACTGCGTGGCCCGGCTGCTCCTTTTTTTTTCCCAGTCAGCACGTGGACGTGGCCTCCCTGGGCCTCGTGCCCCATCTCACTGGAGGGACCCTTTACAAGTACAGCAACTTCCAGGTGACAGACAGCGTTCCGGGCACCCCCGTGGGTGTCCTGCGCCGTTTAACTTGCCATGCTTCGGCCACGGGTCAGAGAGCTGGGCCCCTGTAGGCAGCTGACAAGGGGACTCGTGCGCTGGCGGAACACGAGGCCCGCCCTCCCCGGCAAACGCGTTCACCCCGCCTCCGAGCTGAGTGGCCACGGTGGGGAAAGCACGCTTTACGGCAAACTTTTATATTTTGTATTACATCTATTTCAGATAGTGTTTTTAAACGTGACTGTATTTTCAATTGTTATGACTTGTAACAACAAGGGGGTCAGTTCTTATGTCAGTCCCTTCCGAGCCCAAGCTGAGAGACGGAGCCATGAGCTGCTCAGAACGTCAGCACCAGGTCCGTGGGTGTGTGGGTGCGGCAGTGCGGCACCCTCCTGGGACAAACTCTACACCAGGCACAGGGTGGGCACAGTTCCAGGCTTCTGCCATGGACCCCAGTACCTCGAAAACGTACCATGTGGAGGGGCAGGAATCGTTTGCCTCCCGCAGGCCAGCTGCCTCCTCAGGGAGAAGATGCAGAGGAGGCTGAGCTGTGCCCGCCTGGCTCCTTTTCCAGACGTACTGGTCAGATCAGTCACCTGTCCTCACCTGAGGAGAAAGGGCCCGGCGGCACCTCTAATTTAAGTATGTCCACACAGAAGCATGGAGTGGGCATGAGGTGCCCCCCAACATAAGTGACAAATGTTAATCACTATGTATATTTTTTTATCATTGATAAAATTATTATTAATCATCTATCCACATATTATATTAAAAATTAGTTAAGGGATTTGCTAAGACCAAAGAATGCAAACGAAATAAAATTGAAAAAGCTTTAGAAACCATTTCTAAAATTTCTGGATAAAGTAGGTTTTAATCAGGAAAAGAAACGGAGTTATTTTAAGTATTTTACTGCCATCTGGTGGGCATTGATCATATTTTATTTTTTAGATGCACTTGGATAGCCAGCAATTCTTGAATGACCTCAGAAATGATATTGGGAAGAAAATAGGATTTGACGCCATAATGCGGGTCCGCACCAGCACAGGTAAGCCCCACGTGTACTGGTTCTCAGGTCTCTGCCGTAGACTTATTTTCTCCTCAGATTAACAGCCCAGTAGAACAAGGAGAAGCAAAATTTCCTTTTTTCCTCGTCCTTAGGATTTAGAGCCACTGATTTCTTTGGCGGAATTTTTATGAACAACACCACCGATGTGGAGATGGCGGCCATCGATTGTGACAAGGCAGTGACTGTGGAGTTTAAGCACGATGACAAACTTAGTGAAGACAGTGGGGCCTTAATCCAGGTGATGTGAAATGTATTCTCATCTTTTGCTTTTTAATTCTTGACTGACAGTGATCAGTAGAGCAACTAAAACACCATCGACCACATTAGTCTCCCCGTAAAGAAATTCAGCTCTTCCTCCGAAGGCAGAAGCCGTTAGGTCAGGGCACTCGCCGTGAGTTCTGTCTGCTCTGAGCCACGCGTGCTGTGGACGGGAAGTAACGGTTGCGCGTGGCTGCGTGGGAGCCGGCGCCCGTGGTCAGCGTCGTCAGTGCCGGCAGACTGGCGGCCGTGGCCGGCACTATCAGCTCCAGTCCCACGCACACATTCGCTCAGCTCCTGCCACACGTCAGACGCCATGTTGAGCACGTTACCGTGTTCCAAACCAGGGTGAATAGGGTTTGGCGTTGTAGTAGATAAAATTAACTGGAAGCCATGGAGACTCTGAACTAAAAGAAGAACTGTATCTGGTGGTCATAGTGTTCATCACCCTCAAAAGCTGGGGAGAGGCTGGCATCAGCGGAGGAAGACCTCCGCCTGCTGCTTACTGGGAATCGCAGACATGGGGAAATGGTTATGCGTTTGCTTTCTTAAAATGTGTAGATCATCAGCTTAAAACCTAAGTGCACTGTCACAGCGAGCTGTGTGTTTTTAAGGGAAGGGAGCCTTGAGTATGGCTATGAGAACAGGAAGGTATCATTTCTGGGCCCAAATCCCTGGTAGTAATATCTGACATGTAAAACACAGACCGGTTGTGGAGATGCCAGCAGATATTCACACGTGCACAGCCCAGTTAAACTTTAAGTGTGTAACCAGTACAGTGCCACGTAGAAGCCCAGTGTGTGAGCCGGTCGTCATTCCTTTATTATCTGTTGTTCAGCCTTTAGCAATAATAGAAAAGCTTCCTTGGGACAACGGAGAGGTCCCTGAGCCGTGCACACGGCTCTGCAGCTGGGGTCGGGCCAGGGGGCGGGTGTGTAACCAGGAAACCTGTGCCGCTGCAGTGCGCTGTGCTTTACACGACCGTCGGCGGTCAGAGGAGACTGCGGATTCACAACCTTGGCCTGAACTGCAGCGCCCAGCTGGCCGACCTCTATAAGAGCTGTGAGACGGACGCCCTCATCAACTTCTTCGCCAAGTCAGGTAAGGCTTGGCTAATCCTGTGCTGCTATCCTTTGGTATCCACGGGGGATCAGCTCCAGGACCCCCAGGCTCCAAAATCCAGACGCTCAGGCCCCTCATATAAAACGGCGCAGTATCTGCCTACAACCCCCGTGCGCTCCGTGTGCTTCAGTCATCTCTGGATTGCTCGTGATACCCAATACTGCGCGCACGGCTGTCACACTGTGCTGTTTGACCAGGGACAATGACCAGGGGAAGTCTGCACGTGTGCAGGGCAGACACAGCCATCACAGGCCTAACAGCAGAGTACACGTCAGCAACAACCTGACTTTTTTTTTTTTTCGAATATTTGCGATCCACGATTAATTGAATCCACAGATATGGATCCCACAGATAGCGGGCCGACAGTAATTCAGCCCGGCCTCGTTGGTTAGTCCAGTTTGTAGCTGACGAGTATGGTGGTGCCATAGACTTTCCATGGGTAGATTCAGAATTTATCAAAGCAAAGGGCGAAGGAGACTAGTCAGCCTCTCTAACTTTAGATTAGTAAGGAGATGACCGAGTCAGGTCCACTGTGCAGTTTTATTTAAAGGTTCCTTCCTAAGGGGTGCGAGGTGAAATTTAGGAAGGTCTGCTTAGGGTGGGGGGTATGTGAGTGCGCCCTCTGGCACATGAGGACGGTGGAAGACGACGTTTGCGAAACAGTGGACCAGAGGGGGTGCTTTCTTCCACTCTTTCTCTCCTCCCCCGAAACCCCAGTGGAGAGTCTACACTAAGTTTTAGAAGAAACAGCCTGGAGTCCAGCTCATCGGGATTCAGGACGTCCGAAGGCAGTGAACAGGTCTTCTCTGTGCAGAGTTCCATTCCTAACATCCGAGGAGACGTCGGGACAGCCGCCTGCCTTTCGTTACGTAGTAGGCCGTTGTTCCCCACGGGCTGTGACCATACCGCGTCAAGAGGAGAGTGTCAGCAAATGACTCCAGGATTCTTAAGGCTGTCATTCCTTGCCATGTGACCTGAGGATAATAGCAATTATTTCTTTCATTGTTCTTTGAAGGGATCCATTTCTGAGCTAAAACTTGTCCTTCCCATTGTTTTGTGCAAACAGCTTTCAAAGCAGTCCTGCACCAGCCCTTGAAGGTCATCCGGGAAATTCTCGTTAACCAGACCGCCCACATGTTGGCCTGCTACCGGAAGAACTGTGCCAGCCCATCCGCAGCCAGCCAGGTGAGACGCCGGCATCCGCACCTGCGTTCCTGCGCATTAGCCCGTGGGAGGCTAGTGACAGTCCAGGGACCTAGATGCAACCCGGGAGATCGAGAATCCGTTTGGGGATGGGGCGGTGCTGTTTTATAGCCAATGTTACAAAGAAGTTGACGTGCGCTAACGGCAGTAATGACTTCTTTATATTTTAGCTACGTAAATATAATTTATAAATATCCGAATTCTTTATATTTAACATGTAATCGGTATGAAGAGTTTTGAAAGCATTGTCTCTGGCCATCATCTAGTAATTCGAAGTGCAATGAGACCCTTTGAACAAAGCTCAGACTGTCCTGTATGAGGAGGGCCTCGGGTCCGCCTTCATTTCTGCATCTCTCACATCCTCCCTCCGTCAGCCAGAGCTGGACGCCGGTTTCCATAGCTGTGCACTGCATTTCTGAGCATAGAATTTGAATTAAAAGAAGACAGTGAGCAACAGATGGTTCGTTCATTGTCAAAAGTGGGTGCTGAGAACATATCTGAAACCCCACCCGAAAGTGAGCCTTCAGCAACGAGGATAATGCAGGTCAATTTAGGGGCCAAATTCATGATCCGGGTAAAGAAGGAAAATACAACAAACATGGTTATGATTTTGGATTTTTAACAAAAATTCCTTCCTGTCCAAAGAGATTAAATGGGCCATCCAGCATCTCCTGTGTTGATAATCACAGAAGCATCTGACTCCGCACCCAAGTGTCCAGCCCTCTTTATGATTCAGAAGGCGGGCCCCGTTAGTGCCCGCCAGCATCAGGGCTGTTTCACAGTGTAGTTGTTTAATGCAAAGCCTACCAGCGGCATTGGATACGGCCCGGTCCGGTCCGGTCCGGTCGTGAGCACTTTACACCAGCCTGCTGCTGGTTTCGGACCTCCAGAACCATCCCTGGGTCTCAGGCTTCAGGAGGAGGACAGGCTCTTAGCGCTTCTCAGGGAGTTTATCTGGCGAAAGGTAAAACCACTGGGATCAAAGACCTCGAGTTAGAAGCAAATCTGTTGCCTCTGTAAGGATGAAAATAAAACCTGTTACTTCCTTCTGGTTTAAAAGTTAAAAGCTTTGTCTCTACCGCTAGATTATTTGTTCATACAATTTATTTTTATCTAGAGTAAAAACCTTATGATGCCAAATTTCCTCCAAAAAAGTTGATAGATTATTCCTGTTCTTGTGATTTTTCTTTCTCCATGAGCACATTTCAGCTGTATCTATCTTTCAACCACTGATATGTTTTAAGAGATGATACAGCTTAGATAGCTATGATTATCCAACGTGGAGAATGTAGGGATTATAAACTGTTAGTAACAATATACTAAAATATACCATTAAGGAAGAACTGAGAATGGCTGGACTTGGGCTTATCTTCGGAGAATGTACCCTCAAACGTGGTGCCCTCCCATAGTTCACTTGCAAGAAACAGTTATCTGTGCAGAAATTCTTAAAGGAATATTCCAGTATTTTACTATAGAGCCCAAAGTTTCCTTGGTCCAGACCAGCCCACGATGGAGTGTGTTCGGACCGCGTGACCCTGGGCCTCAGGAGAGCTGCGCTTACGGACTCGCCGAGGCCACACGAGGTTGAGGGCAGAGAGGCGCTTGGGGTGTCAGCTGAAGGAGCCACCCTTCTGGGGTCGTATGATAAGGTGCTGGCTGAGACGCGCAGCTACAAACAACACTGAAACGATGCTTCCGATTCCATGAGCAAGGCAGACCCTTTTCATTCAGTCTAGTAGCTCAGTGTTTTGAATTTAAACATATTCCATCAAATGGGAACACAGCGATTTCAGAAGGCAAGTCAAATGACTTAACTACAAAGTGGTTTTTTTTTTTTTTTTTTACTGTTCATTACCACTTCTGTCATTTCAAAACCCAAAGAGAAGAATTCTCTAAATTCAATCAGCCTGGACTCAGGACTGTCCATCCCCTCCTCACACACGCCTCTCACTTCCCGGAGAGGATGGGGGCGGGGAGGTTTAATGGTGGCCATCTGTCCCTATGTTTTCTTCCCATCTCAAGGACATCAGCTCAGACCGCCTCCTTGTTTTCGGTCACTCTAATGCCATCTTCTTCGTCCTCTGTTTCCTTCCCTCTGCCCCGCTGTGGTCCAGTCCCCTCTACTCAGACGTTCAGTCCCAACTGAGCCAGGCCCGCCCCTCTGTGGCACTTAGGACAGCAGGTTTCTACACTGCCCTAATGTGACCTGACTAGCGAGGAGCGGCCAGGGAACCTGCCAGGTGCGCGCTTCCCCCTTCCAACGCCAGCTGGTCCTGACCATGGCCGTGGCCGACTCACAGCTCTTCTTCTACTCGCAACTCCTGCCCATCGTAAGGCCCCACGGGCGTCCCCCCCAAAAAACAAAACAAAAACACTTTGAGTCTCAGCTCAGAGGCTGAAGGTGTGCTTATTCTGGGAGGCGGCAGTTGCCTGGCTCAGAGCCGAGGACACGCACGCGGCTCTGTGTGGGACCTCAGTCTGGCTTCTCCGCCTTTGGCTCCGTTTCCTTCGTCGGGAAAGCCATCCAAATGTCAAATAAAAGTGTTTCATGCTTGGGAAAGTTACAAGAAGAGCATGTCGTGGGCAGTCAGCCACGCTGTTCCCAAAGTCACGAGGTAGGAGGCGGCGGTGCAGGTTAGGGACCCACGCGTTTGTCTCCCCCATCTGATGGGCATGGCCGTGGCCTTCCCGTGTGCTTGGGAGGCCCCGGGGGTGTCCCAGACCAATGACCATTTCTCCTAACAAGGCCATGGTCCTGGAGTAGGTGGGCCTTGGTCCACTTAGGTGAGGAAAGCAAGGAAGAGAGCGAGCCGCGTCTGCCCAGCGCCACCCAGGCCGCAGGGGTGGAGCCGTGCTGCCTGGGCCCTGGGCGGGCCAGCTCTGCCCGGCGCTTTGGGGTGCTCTGGGGTGCTTTGCAGGAGCACCATCTGGCCCCATCCGGACCTCAGAGCCGGCCGTGTCTCTGACTTGCAGAGAGCTGGGCGGGCGTCATCAGGGAAAGCCGGGCGTCTGTCTGGAACAGTCCCTTCCTTTCCAGCTCATTCTGCCGGATGCCATGAAGGTGCTGCCCGTGTACATGAACTGCTTGCTGAAGACCTGCGTGCTGCTCGGCCGGCCGGACGTCGCGGTGGACGAGCGCGCCTTCCAGCGCCAGCTGGTCCTGACCATGGGTGTGGCCGACTCGCAGCTCTTCTTCTACCCGCAGCTCCTGCCCATCGTAAGGCCCCGCGGGTGCCCCCCCTGCGGGCCGGGAGGGGCTCGTGTTCGCCCTGGTCCGTGTGTCACATCCGAGGACCGCTGCGTCCTCCTCCCCTCGTTCCCCAGCGGTGTCCGCAGTCACGTAGGCAGGCCGGACAGTGGGCAGACACGCGGGAGCAAGCCAAGCTTCGGCGTGTGAGGGAAGCCCCCCCAGAGCTCAGAGACGGCCGAGTGTGCGTGCAGGGTCCACGCACACGCACGTGCCCGGCACGCGTCTGAGGACGCCCGCACTCTGCAGGGACAGGCTGCGCTGGCCCTCGGCGTCCTCGGCGACGTGTTCGGCCCATGTGACGTCAGCCCCTCCTGTCTTGGCTTTTTCTTCACTCTGTGACCAGGCTCTTCTCCCCTGAGACCTGACGTTCAGATTCAAATGGGAGGCGAGGAGAGGGGAGGGCCGATGGCTTCCTTCTGCACCCCTTCTCAGGCCCAGAGCCAGGCTCTCGGCAGCAGTGCACTTAGTTGAGTCAGGATGGCAGTCAGCAGCATTCGATGCTTCAGTCACTGTGAATGTTAGGTGTCACAAATGACTTTCAGATGGAACTGGATCACCAGCCATCTGTGTGCAGACAGCTCTGGGAGACAGAAGTGTCGGCACCCGAACAGGACTGCTAAGGCCGCTGGTGACCGCAGGCCGCCAGACGCAGGGTTACTTCTCCCTGGCCCCGTGGCATCGGCACTGGCTTTCTCCCTCTGGGAGCCTCTGCGCTGAGTCGCCTGGGCTCCCGGTGCCGGCTTCTCATGCCCCATATCGGGTCCCCAGCCCCACTCCTGGGTGGCTTCTCGTCTGTCTGCACTCATCCCCTGGGGGCCTTCTCTGTCCTGGCGGCTCTCAGCACGGTGGACATACTGATGAGTCCCAAGCCCCCGCTCCCACCCGCCCTGTGCCCTCAGCTCCGCACCTGTCTGCGCCCGCAGCCTCCTGGGCGTCTCAGCGGGCTGTGTG